CATTTCTTCGTAAGCTTCGTCTACCTCTGGTTATGATTCAGCAAGTCCAAAATTTCTTCGTTCCGAACGGATCCAATCTCTGAAAAGTACTGATTTTTCCAAGCTCACCCTCATTAGACACTCTATAATCATCGAGTTGTAGTTTTGCTTGACTGAAAGTGCTCTCCGATGCCACTGTTGAAACTTGAATGGTTAAAATGTCTCAGGCCATCCTTGAAAGGACCGGAAAGTATTTTTCTTTGCCCTTCCACCATTCCAAAAGATTAAATGAGACGTCGGGATTCTCCTGCTCAAGTCCCTGTGACAAATAAACTTCAAGCTTATTTAGTTGTGAACAATCACTAGTGGTACAACCTTGAAAACCCCTGAACTCGGTCCAAAAACTAAGTGCTCTTACTCTTGTAGTTCTTTTAGATGATTGAGAACTAGAAGAAGAAGGAGTTGGAATATCTGGTCTAGCATTATCTAGTGCAATTTGATAAGCACTATAAATAGTTAGAGCATTTATTTTAATTGAGGCTTGTGCGTCCGAAAGTGGAGAGAACTCCTCAGGTGCAAGTGCTAAATAAATAGATCGATGCCAATATTAAGGACCACCTAATTTCATAGTAGGATTTAACAAGGCAGCAATACCATAAATAGGGGGAATAGGGAAAATATATTTTTTAAATTTCTTTTTCATAGAATCAATAGCTACTTCATAAATTTCCCCACCCTCTGAAAAATGAGCAAACAAATTTGCAAGTTCTGCAAGATAAACTAAACAGTTCGAAATAGTAGGATAATATTGCCCAAAAATTCATTTGTAGCAACATGAAATGTTTCTAAAAAATCTACAAGTATTTTAACATTAGCCCAATCCGCATTTGTAAGGTGCTCATCATAATCACTTATATGAGCATTAAACGTTGAGTTTATGCGGTTTTTATATTCATATGCAACAAATAAACTGTCATACATGTAATTCCATCTAGTTGGACAAGGTTTAGGAACCTTTCTTTCTCTTAGGCCAAATTCATCGCATCTTTTAAAATATTCTCTAAGTCTACTTCTACGGTTTGAATAAAAAAGTCAATTAAGAGTCATTTTAACCTTTTCAATTTCAACATTTAAAATTTTCATGCTATCACCCACAATTAAATGGTAAATATGACAAATACATCTAACATGAAAAATGTTACTAAATGCAGGATTTAGTGTGGTGGTAAACAAGGCTACAGCATTAGTGTTACTAGTAGCATTATCTATTGAAATTGACATTATTTTCACTAATGCAAATATCTACAAATATCTGTAACCGTGCTAGAAATAAACTGCCATGTGTGACATGAATTAATTACTATAAGCAATAATGCGCTTTTGCATTATCCACTCCTCATCAATCCAATGACTTGTAACAGTAAGATAATCACAAACATTACTACTTCTACCAATATCAGTAGTAATAGCAACACAAAAATTAATATGGGTAAATAAATAGCCCAAATATTGTTCATATTCAAGTTTATATTTATAAATATCGCTCCTGACTAGGTAGNGGGGGTCAACCGGGGCATCATTTGGATTAGTTGGGTTAACTTGAGTAACAGGACTAGTGGGTGTATCATCATCCGGTTGCGTTTCATCTAAATCTATTTCCTGCTCATCTTCTTTATCAATAGTTGGATTACCATAAAGGTTGTTCATATATTCATCATCTAAGCGTTCACCACAATCAACATTATGCACATATTGACTCTCCGTAAATTGTAATAAAGTATTATCACTATCAAGAATAGGAACAGGTAGAGGGCGGGTATAGGGTTTGGGTAGGGGAGGCCGGGGAATTAGAGGAGGAATAGATTGGCCACTAGATTCACCACTCTTGGATTTTGCTTTATTTTTATTAAACATTTTTTTAAGGAATATGCCATCTTAATTATAATTATACAAAGTAACTAAATAAAACAAACAAAAATATAATATTAAAACTAAAGAGTTGGAAGAGTTTACCGAATTGATGAACAACTTGTTGAAATTAATTATCGTTGAAGACTTGAATAATTCAATTCACCAACTTCACAATTTTTCACACAAGTTGCAACAACAAAATAACCAATTTTAGAAGAAAATTAGAGAGAGATTGATGATTTGGTGAAGAAAAATGAAAGAATGAGGGGGTATTCATAGTTGAAAATAGCGAAAAAGTATAATTATAAAAAGTTTGGGGTTAAAACAAAGTTTGGGGGGTTAAATGGCTATTTTATAAATAGCCAACGGCTATTTTGGCAGCCATAACGACTATTTTTTTAATAGCCAACGGTCAGATTTTTAAAAGAGAAAAAAAAATTTAATCGTTGGGCCCGTTTAGGACCGGTTAGGACCGGTCCATTTAGGAGCCGGTACCGGGCCCAAACGGTCCCGATCCTAACGGGCACTTTCGTTGAACCGACCCACATGGGCCTCAAACCTCCTGGTCCTGGGCTTAAACGGATAGGCCCGTTTAAGCCCACTACCCATATAGGCTCGCGGGCATGGGCCGAGTCCGGGCCTAACCAGCTCACTTGCCGCCCTTGGCCAAAGTAAGCGGAACAAAAAAAAATGAGTTAAAAATAAAACTTTTTACACGGAGTATACTTTAACTTGTTACAGTGTACATGTTCGTCACCTCCTCACCACTACGAAAAGGTGAGTCCCAATCTCTCACTCTTTTTTTTCCTTTGCTTTTTTCATAATTATATATATATATTCCTGGTGGAGTGGGGTAGTGGGGCAGTTTGACATGGGATGCTAGCAGGGGATTGGAAGGAACGTGGAAATTTGCAATGACATGCATGCAAATTTTAATATCTATAAATAAAACGAATTTCTTTTTATCTTATGTGTCTATTGGTAGCTTAATCATTACTAATAGAATCTTCACTAATGCCAGTTAGTTCCTTTTTTATTAATCATTGATTAACTAATTTTGCATGTATCCCTTCAAGCTCACACATCACTTGTGTCCCCAACAGCCAAATTAATCAACAATGTCAGTGTAATTAAATCAAATAAACCAAGATACAGCAACAACAATATACGTAATATATTGCCACAATCAGCTTTATCCGTACCTTATGAAGGCAGATAGGTTTTTTTCGGTAGACCGTCGGCTCAACGAAAGCAAAATTACATCACTTATATGACGAACTATAGAAAGAGAAACACTAACAACAGTCTGAAAAATAATATAACCAAAACAAAACAAATATCAGGTAACAATGGTGACCTAAAAATCAAATAAACCAAGATATACAAGTAAATGAACTACTCCAAATTTACAGGTAACAATGCTGCTATTTCATACAGAGAAATTATTACTCATACCTATCACAAATGTGTAGTAGATACAATTACATATATCAGTGTCATTAAGGAGCCCCAAATCACAACAGAAATTATAACTCCTAAAATTTGGAGCCATTAGAAGGAATAAAACCTTCAAAAGTTAGTCCAACTACTTCATATACATCACTAATATCATAGAAACCTTAGAGCTAATATATATTCCTAGCCAATATAGGTAACACTAATATCAGTACACAACACAAGAACCTTTGTACATTTCTTCATTACAAATTCCTACTAAAGCCCCAACCTCAAGTCCAATTCCAATCCTGAAATACATGAATAAGAAGCTGAAGAATCATCTTGATCATCTCCTGAGGTTGTAACAGGAGGAAAATTGAGATCCAAATTAGCGACATTATTTCCCTGCACCTTTGGATTGACAATGACAGCTCGTGTTAAGTCTGATTCTGCTGCTGATATCGTTGTTGTTGTTGTTGCTGTTATTTCGTCCCCGAGTTTTTCCAAATGACACCTTTTGTGTCCTCCTAAAGCTTGTCCACTTGTGAAACCTCTCAAACATATACTACACTTATGTCCCAATACCATCAACCTCTTGTTATCATTGCTAATTGTATCTTCACTATCACTGCCTCTCCCTTTTTCTATGGGCCACATAATTCCCATATTGCCCTCTTCTAATTGCTGGCTACATTCCCCATAATTTGTTGTATTTGCAAAACAACCCTTGACATTCTTGTGAGTTGCCCTATGTCCCCCTAATGCCTGGCGAGAACCAAATACCTTCTTGCAACTTGTGCACTCTAATTTACAACAATTATTCATTCCTGAAGAAAGTGTACCTGATTCAATTACACCCTTTTCTCCAACCCCTCCATCTATAACCATGTGATCAACGTCCCAAACAACGTTGTCATTTTCCAACAAAACATTAGGACTATTACCAGTACAAGGAGTACGAGGCTGTCCATTAGACAATAGTAATAAGCACTCAGCAATTTCATGATCCTCGTCTGTTAGTAAAAGGGAATAATTGGGGGATTGTTGGGGAAATGAAGAATGAATTGGCCGTTTTAAATTGGGAGGAGGGTTAATACCACGCCATTGGCGTTCAGGGTGACAGCGCATGTGACCAAAAAGGGCTTTCCACGACCAAAATTTCTTGCCACATTCAGTACAAGGCCTAGTAATTTTGGGGGCATTAGGGTATGGTGGTTTCTTGGCACATTTAGGCTTAGTAATAACAGTTTCACTAACAACCCCTGAAGTACTAGGATTATTAGTACTACTGATTCTAAAGGAGTTATCATTAATTCTTAACAATTTACTTCTTTTCTTTCTGGGATTTTGAGGTTTGTACCTGACATTTGTGTCAAACATTGTGAATCTTCTTGATGCTTCTTCTTCATGGGTTTGATCCAGAGGATGATGATCGCCAATTACATGACTCTGTAGAACGAGGGGTTGAATAAAATCGGAAATAGTAGTGCAATAGGTGTTTTGGTTGTCCATATTTCCTTGAATTTCAAGAAAGGGTACGTCGTTTTTACTTGTGTAAATGTTTACAGTTAAAAGAGAAGAGAACGGTTTAATTGGTGTTTGGGTGCTGTAAGAAAGAGGGGATAGAGGTAAAGAGCGGTTACGCTGGTGCTGTAAGAAACAGGGATAGAGGGAAACAGCAGTTACTTGAGACTTGGGCAGTAAGTTTGTTAAATGGGGCAGGTCATTATCTCACCTCGTCTCACTATTACCACCCATAACTCAACATGGGCGTATGCTCACTGCTCACATAAAAATTAATAAACACTAAACTTGACAGTTTAAATTAATAATTTATAGTAGTATTTAGCGATAACATCGAGGTTACTCTCTAGGGAAAAGACTAAGTTGTATATAGTTCAAATTATGTTACTGTCGCAAACGGTGCGGGTGCGGTGCGGGGTCGGTTTAAGACTATACAGGGCGGTGCAGGTTTAAATCTATGCGGGGCGGGCGAATTGAAATACTTTTAATAAAAGCTTATGCGGGGCGGGTTGCGGATCTATACGAGTTTACACGGGTGTAATGATTTTTCTTCTTATTCTGAGTTCCCTGTAATCACCATATGAGCCATAAACTTGCTTCTCTACAACTTTGTTACAGAAGACCTCAAATGCCTCTTTTAGAGCCTATAGAAGTTCAAAATGTAGACATCAGATAGTATATCCCAAATTATTCAAGGTAAAAAGCATAACTCCCCAACAACAACAGTTGGATATACGTTGTGAAAGAGAGAATTATTTGCAAAATAGTTGGTCACAAATGCCATATACTTGTCATGCAGCTCAATAACCTTCATAAGTCCTAGCAAAGACCTGAGGAAAGAGAGGGGTACACACGGTTGAACCATCTCTATACTATTATATAAAAATTCAAATTAAGTAAAATTTCAGAGAAAAAAAAACTTTCAATTTTTTGGTTTATTAAATTGGATGTCATTTCCAATTTATCGTGCAGGGCAGGTGGACGCGGATGAAAATACTATGTGGCGCAGGGCAGGTTGAGATTTTCACGGGTTTATGCGGGTTTGGGCACCGCTTGCCATCCCTAGTTACTGAAGTTATTATTTCAAGTAGGTATCGTGCATATGTCATGAAATACTAATTCTTTTTCAAAAAATTTAACCAATTTTTTTTAGTATGTGAAATCATGGCATGATTATTGATTGGAACCTTTTTCACAGGCTCAAACTTGATCCAACAGGCCTATTTAACCGCCCTATCTGTCAAAATAGCACGGTATAGCCAGTTTTCGGATTGGTCAATCAAAAATAGCCACTGTTTACGAAATCAATGAAAAATAGCCACTATTTTGCTGCAACAGAGATCGGTCCCATATAATATACGGGAGTTCGGTGCATCTGTGTACGAACTCCAGCATATTATGCTGGACCGGTATACTTTGCTGACTCCTGTATAATATACGGGAGACTGGAGCACCGGTGCTCCAAACTCCAGTATATTATACTAGACATTAATACTTGCTGGAACTCCCGTATATTATGCTGGAGTTCTAGTGTACTTATGCTGGAACTCAACATATTATACGGGAGTTCCAACATAGTTATCCTGGAACTACCGTATAATATGCTGGAGTTCAAGCATACTTATGCTGGAACTCTAGTATAACATACGGGCATATTTTCCGGGTTTTAAACAGTGTTTTCGCTCAGATTTATCTTTACATGAAAAGTGGCTAAATTTCGATTACTTTTAAAACCGTGACTATTTTTGAATGACCAGTTGTAAATCGAGCTATTTTTAAATTTCTCCCCCCCTGTCAATATAACAAAATAAGGACAAGGAAAACTGACTCTGCGACACTAATTATAACATCTAAAATATCTTATCTGTAGCATCTCAAGCCAAACAGATCCACGTGAAAAATGAATTGGAGTATTCTCAAGCCAACTGATACATCAGCTATACGTAGCATCAACAAAGAGCTTTCTCCTCAAACTTGCTCATTAAGTGAAACAACAGCGCAATCAATTGAACAGAAAGTAACAGACAAGAAGTTGATCTGAACCAAACTCGTAAAACAGAACGCTGGTACACTTGCGAAATTCTCACCCAAACTCCTTTATCATCCCCCAAAACCCCACCTCTAAAAAAAAAAAAAGACATTACATTTTTCCTCAAAGGGGAAAAAAAAAGATGTTACAAGGATGTTAGTGGTATTTTTGATGCAGTAATGTGTAATCAGAAAATCGGGTCACTTTGCTATCAACTCCAAAAATAGCCAGCAGTCCTCTGTATCTTTCGCTTGTAACATAGATCTCACCCAAAAAATAAAGGTCTGCATATATATGGCCTGGTAAAGAAAATCCTCTGTTGTTACTGTTAAAGTGTATCATTAGTCCAATACATGTAGCACATGCTCATCTCTCATTTGGTGCCGCTACCGCATCCTGTGAGACACAAATAATAGAAATAGTCACAAGATTAATCGGAAGACGCACATTAAAAAATGGTAATCTAATTGAGGGATATCGGACGAAGTACAATGTATAGAGATATTTTTACCTCAACTTCCTGTAAGAGTAGTTCAAGTTCAACTTGTATTTCAGAGAAGCTGGGTCTATCACTAGGAATGGCCTCCCAAGACCTCTGCATCAAGTCTAGCAGCCTCGGGTGTGCATTCTCTGGAAGCTCGGGTCGGAGGCCCTAGGAGACAACATAATAGAGTCAAACTCAGACACGAGTTAGAATGAAATGTAACAGATGGCACGAGAAAAGTATCATCTGACTTTGCAAGTGTTCCTTCTTTTCTAAAGTCACTATCCTTAATTAATATCATAATGGCTATACGAGCAATCATGCACATAATATAGATATTGCATGCATCGGTATTTGGCCCATGAATGTTAATCCAAATTCCAACTATGCACATCTACTCAAGATCCAAGGACGTAAGACTGTTTAAAGGACTTGGAACTTTACACCTGCAGGAAAAATCTAGCTATGCACACTATCATTTAGATAAAAGGAATCTCACTTGTTCTTAGGGGTTCATAAAACATAGTTAGCATGTAATGAGGCTACATTAACCAACTATACAGCACTACACAAAACTTCATATCTGTTCAAGTTTTACAGCACAAATATGCAAGGAGCCTTTCCACTCCCAAAATGCGAAGCCCTCAAACGCCTAAAATAACAGACTAGCTTGCTTAACGGGAAAATACGATTCACAACATGCTCCACGTGCTAAAAGCAATTTGCAATACAGACCTGTCTCACTCCTAGAGCAGCTTGTAGTGGGGTCATGGTGTCATACGGAACCTGTAACATAAAAAAGTACATGAATCAAAGGAGGCACAACCTTAACTTCTGATGGCCATTATGTGACTTCTTTCACGAGTAGTCAAATACCTTTGCTGTTACAAGCTCCCAAAGAACAATAGCAAAACTAAACACATCTGCTTTCTGATCGTATGGCTGATGATTGATGACCTAAAAGGAAAAGAAAAGTTTAACAGACCAAGCATGCAGTAGCAGACAGGATAGTTATGGATGTGGTAATGTATTTCATATATGTTAGACACCACAAACGCAGCCCTTGGTCTTAATTATCTATCATCAAACGAGGTGGAGAGAGACAAACAAAGCACGTAGGCTCCTCCATCATAGAGAAGCATGGAATCACGAGCGAGATCTTGTGCAGGACTACGGAATAATGCCTCATCTTAGGAAAGCCATATTATTACAAAACTATGAAGAATCAATCCTAGAAACTTCATCGCTATAAGCAATTTCAGAAAATTACAGCTTAAAACTAGAAGAGCCCAACTGATGACGACTGCATGTAAAGGAGTATTAGCACCAATGAGCAGACTTCCCAAAGTGTCTCGAGCACCCATGTACAACCATGTCATTTTTCTTTTAATTGTTGTACAACTATGTTATGTTATGCAACAAACAAAAACAAATAGGAAAGAGAAGTTAATTAATACTGTCATAAAAGCATTAGAATCCGATATACAGGTAAAGATTTAATAAGATTCAGAAGGAATAAAAGACGGATCTTTGGAGCATTAAAAACTATGCACTAAAAAGGACGAGAAGCTTCAAATGGTTATCCCAACTGAGGGTTAAAAATATTATCAAAATCAACATATATGAATCATCCTTTTTCCACTCAAGCAGCAGCAAGGAGAACTTCCAGCAGCACAACAAGCTAGGCAAGTCCTTCTATTTGACTGCCTAAATTAAGTGGGCTCCATCCACAACAAAATCACTTGTATGTTTAACTAGCTTATCAGGGTACAGGCGCATATCTGATATTCCGTACTGAATCAAATATTCACAAATTTAGCAAAGAAAATAGCCAGACCTCAGGGGCCATCCATCTATATGTTCCAGTCTCAGCTGTCATGACACCCCCCTTATTTTGGAAACGAGCAACACCAAAATCTGCCACTTTAACAACCTTATCACAGATTACAAAGTCAATCAAAATAGGTGTGGTGTAGATAATGCAAAACATAAGCAAATAGAATAGGTAGGCATTCAAATCATGAGCACTTAAAAAAAGAAACAAATTGGTGGAAGAATTAATTCCCAGAAAACATGACAGGTCTGAAGACCCATAAAAATTCAAAAGCTTGCACTTTTACAGAGAGAATCCTGCTCTTTCCTCAAAGTAACAGTATGAATTCGTTATGGAAAAAATCTCAAATAATAGGACATTCCTTTTCAATCCATTATAATACAACCAATCCCATTACAACATAGTACCAGTTAAAACGAACCTCCAGTCCAATAGAGTAAGCACTGAACATAGCAGTTCTTTGAAAAGTAGAAACTGAAGAAATAGATCAATGTATAATCTTTGAATGTATACTTTTAGAAAATAATGGAATTTCCATATTGATAGAGTATTTCTTCTTTTTAATATTTGGAAATATTTTTTGGCGATTCGAATTTTTTAATACTATTTGTTTTATTAGGACTAATGTCTATTTCTGGAGTTACTTTCTGATGTTGAAGAACATTGATTTATGACCAAAGGAAAGTGGACTCGGTGCTCATGAAGTCATGTTGTAGCACGATTAAGGATGAAATTACTTCATTGTTTGCGCAACTTACATTGTTTGCATCCATAAGTAAATTTGCTGTCTTCAGATCCCTGTGAATAATATTACTTTGATGCAAGTACTCCATTCCTTTACAGACATCAATTCCAAAGCTTAGCAATTGTGAGAGTTGTAATATGACATGGTTTTTATGCAAGTAGTCGTACAAGCTCC